ACAACATCTAGCAATCTTAGATAACAAAGAAAGCAAATGAAGCACCATCATATAGCAGGTTGAAAATATTTCATTAATCCTGTAATGTTACATATGATCTATTCTGTTTTAGTAAACATGTATTAACTTGATAAGCATGATACATTCGTATGTGCATCAGATCATTTTTTAATTTACTTTAACATGCATATCAGGACATGTGGGTGTCTCAGTCGGTTAAGCGTCTGCCTTCAGCTCAGGTCATGGTCCCAGTGTCCTGGGATTGAGCCCCGCATCGGGCTCCTTGCTCAGTGGGAAGTCTGTTTCTCCCTCTCCCACTCTCCCTGCTTGTGCTCTCTCCCTCTCTGACAAATAAAATCTTAAAAAAAAAAAAAACAACATGCATATAATTAAGTTTATTATCTCTTTCATCTGTTCATTCTCATCCTTCCTCCTCCTTCACACACACACACTAGCACTCATAGTCAGGAGCAAAGGCAGAGACCATGAGTTACACGTAGGTGGGTGGGCAGAGGTTGTGAGGGGAGTGTGCAATTGTTCTCTTCTGTTTGCTTCTTTTTTCTCAGAGAGATAGCAAGCAAGGTTGCCAGTTGAGAGTAAAGTCTGAAGAGATTTTGAGGTTTGATAAAAAAGAGTCTGAAAATCTGAACTCTTTTTGAAGTGTGCCTGTGATGAAGAGAATCTCAAAGCAAATATAGCAGGATCTCTAGAGTCGTTCTTGGGTGTCCCCAGTTGCGGCTGAAGTCCTACCTGGCAAGTAACAAATGCTTAGTCCCTACCCTCCTACCCCCTTCCCCCACCTCCTCCACTGCATTCTAAAGGGACTGGAAGGACTCAGAAAGGAAAATCCCAGTAGGATCTAGGAGGAGGTAGCAGAACTGCTGTTACCAGACCTCCCATCCCCACCTCCCCCAGCTGAAAACTCGTGATTTGAATGAAAAATAAACAACAGTACAGTTCTATGGGGGTTCTCCCTTACCTTCTTGAAAGGGGAGGAGAGGTGGTGCTCTTTCTGATCCTTCACAACAAGCCTATGAGTGAGGGCCTACCCGAGATTGAAGGTGACCACATCAAGGTCACATCAGCATCTATTTCTGAGTTGGATGTCTCAGGGCCTATTTGAGAGGCCTGGGCGGAAATGTAAGAGAGCAGCAGGTGGGAAGACTGCACTCCCACTGCGGGATGTGCGCAGGAAGGACGAGCCTCCTCTGGGCTGAGTGGACTCCTCAGGAGACAGTTGTCTTGAGCCTTTCCTACCCCTGCTCCCCCAGTAAGAAAGATCTCAGGGCAACACTTGAGAGGAGCAAGGAGCCTAGAAGAGGGTGGGGAGGAATGTCCCCATTTCTCCTCCAAGTTCCTTGGGCCCAGGATTGATGGTGGGGAGGGAGGACGGCATGACATCAAAGTTTTAGAATTGATAAAACTGGACTGGAATTTCTACTTCTGGGTATAAATCCAGGAAATCAGGGGCACCTGGGTGGCTCAGTCAGTGAGGTGTCTGCCTTCAGCTCAGGTCATGATCTCAGGATCCTGGGATCGAGCCCCAACCGGTCTCCCCGCTCAGTGGGGAGTCTGCTTGTTTCTCTGCCCCCAACTTGTGGCACGTGTGCTCTCTTAAATAAATGAATGAAATCTTTTTTTTTTTAAAGATTTTATTTATTTGAGAGAGAGAATGAGAGAGAGAGAGAGAGCATGAGAGGAGGGAGGGTCAGAGGGAGAAGCAGACTCCCTGCTGAGCACGGAGTCCGATGTGGGACTCGATCCCGGGACTCCAGGATCATGACCTGAGCCGAAGGCAGTCGCTCAACCAACTGAGCCACCCAGGCGCCCTGAATGAAATCTTTAAAAAAAAAAAAAATCCAAAAGAAAGCAGGGTCTCAAATGGTCTGCACTTCCTTGTTCACTGCAGCATTATCTACAATAGCCAAGATATGGAAACAATCTAAGTGTCAACAGATAAATGGATAAAGATGTTTTATATATATACATACAATGTAATATCATTCAGCCCTGAGAAAGAAGGAAATCCAGCCATTTGCAATGACAGGGATGGACTTTAAGGCATTATGCTAAGTGAAACAGCCAGAGAGAAAAAAAGACAAATACTGCATGGTATCTCACTTATATGTGGAATCTTAAAAAAAAAAAAAAAAAAAAAAAAGTCAAACTCATAGAAACAGAGTAGGAAAGTGGTTGCCGGGGGTTGGGAGGTGGGAAAATAGGGAGAGGTTGGTAAAAGGGTACAAACTTTCAGCTGGAAGATGAATAAAGTCCAAGGATCTGAGGTAAAACATGGTGACAACAGTTGATAACACTGCATTGTAGAATTGAAATTTGCTAAGAGAGTAGAACTTAAATGTTCTCACCGCAACCCCTCCAAAAAAGATAAATATGTGCAGTGATAGATGTGTTCATTAACTAGATGGGGGGAGTCTAGTCACAATGTATATGTACATCAAATCACCAGGATGTACTTTAAATACCTTGTATGTGTCAATTATGCCTCAATAAAGCTGAAATTAAAAAAAACACTGGACTGGGATCAACTGGATTGGGTTTTATACGCTCCCCACTCCCCACCAAAAGACCAAAAATTATGTGATCTGCTAAGGGATAGGAGAAGCAGCTTCAACAGGGTACTCTGAAGGCAGTAATGAGGGAAAAATGAAATCATTTCATGTTTGTTTCTCACTAAATTCAGATGATTTACCAAGCCAGTACAGAGGTAAAACAGGTCATGCCTCAGATTCCACTTGTTGAAATTCTCTCCTGCTCTTTCCTATACTGTAAGATTTAAGCATCCCAGGTCTGCTGTTTGGTTAGTGCTAAAAGAATTCTAGTGTTCCACCTTGAAAGTGGAGGTTCCTAACTACTGGGAAAAGAAACCTCAGAAAGACAAGGAGAAATGTTTCCTCTTTTCTTACATCTGCAGAAAAGCACCCACTGTTCTGTGCTATAAAGTGAGATCTTATCAAGTGGGAAATCGAAAGTAGTCATGAGGGTCTCCAACTTACTAATCTTCTGCTCAGGAATCTTGTGTAAAAATGTATATACTATGTGTTTTCTATGATTCTAAAACTGTCCTCAGAATATTTATACAAAGTAGTCTTTTAAGACACAGGAATTTAAGAAGTTATTACATTGTTCTGTGACTTGTAGCCCAGCATCCTTGAAAGTCTGCAACTCCGGTTGGTTGTCTTACTGAAGAATCTGTTTTCGTACTCGTAATATTTAAAACATGTTTGTTTTCTGAAATATTTAAATAAATAGGAGAGTTTTTTGAGCCAGAAAATGAACTTTGGAATTCCCTTCTCTCTTTATGAATAAAAGACTTATAAGTCCCATGCCTTTGCTGGAGTCCTGCTGCAAATATGGAACTGAGAGCTTTGTCTCATGCAAGTCGGCACAGGTGCATGGTTAGAGCATCAGACTCTCCATCTCTCCCAGTGCACCACAGGACACTCCGGGCAACCATGAAGTAGCAGGTGTCTGAAACAGATGTGGAACTGCATGTTGAAAGCATTCACATCCACACAACATGATGAACTTCCAAAGTAAATATTTATTGAACGTCTCTCATGGGCCAGGCAGGGAGGCCACAAAGAGAACAAGACAGTTCCTCACAAGGAAGCTGAGATTGTCCTCAGAAGACACCCAATGACCACACAACAGGATCAGTGTGATGACAGGGCTGGAGACAGAAGGCTGTGGGCATATGAGAAGAAAGTGGCCAAGTGTCCAAACAATCAGAGCAGGTTTCACCTAGAAGGTTCTACTTGAGCTGGGGCTTGAAGGATGATTAAGAATCTACCAGGGGATGAATGGAGCACTGGGTGTTATATGCAAACAATGAATCATAGAACACTACATCAAAAACTAATGACGTAATGTATGGTGACTAACATAACATAACAAAATTAAATTAAAAAAAGAAAAAAAGAAAAGAACCTACCAGGTGAAAAAGGAGAGGGAAGAGCATCAAGAAATGAAGAAAGGGGGTATGCATTCACTGGAACATGAGCAAAAGTTCGGCATGACTGATTTGTTATTTGTAAAGAGAACTCTGGAGGGCAAGAAGGAAAGGAAGACTGGATTAAGGCACCAGGCAGGTTAATGAACAACATTCATTTCATATATATGGACTCAGTAACTCCCGTGTTCCCAGGTACCATGCTAGGTTGTGTGTGGAGGAGAATAAAGACAACAGACGGACAACAACAAAATTGGCAATAGGTGAAGTGTCACGGCCAGTGATGTACAGGGTACAGCTTGGAGTAGCACCTCCCCAGACCTGAGTAGCTTGGACTACAGAAATCCAGTTGAAAGATGGTTGGTGCAAAAAGGTAAAAGAGATAGTAGATGTGAAGGATATTGGGGAGGCAGAACCACCTGGCAGATGCTGTTGGGACCCCACATATCACCCTCGCTGTTCCCATGCACTGTACGGCTTGCCGCTGCAAGCATCTCTGAGTCTTTTGCCTAAAGACATCTGGGTTTGGCTGGCACAAGAGGCAAGCCAAGAAGTACCAGGGAGTTAGCATCCCGAGGACAGGTCCTCAACCACTGTCAGATGGAGGGGGGCAGATAAACACCTCAGGTTTGCTTGCCCCTCAGGTGGGACACCTTTGGGCAGTGGCTTACACAGAGAACCTAGATGGACTAAGTCCCAACTGCCCACAGTGGTAACGTGCTCAGTAATGTACCTTCTACTGGCCTCCCTCCCCTCCGTGTCTCACTTCCCCATTCTCCTATTGCTTCCTGGAATCACCTCCCCAGTAAATGACTTGTACTTAAATCCTTGTCTCAGAGTCCAATTTTGAGGAACTCAACCTGGAACAAACAGAAAAAACTTACTCAAAGTTTAGACAATGAACATGAAGACTCAAATATGAGGCTTGGAGACTTCTACCTTGGGGAGACGCTGACCCCGTCAACTGAGATAAAGATTCTTCAGGATAGAAAGAGGGACAGATTTGAGGGGGGAACAGGATGAATTTGGAAAGGTGAGCTTCAGGTGCTCAAGGGACTTGTCATCTCACAATTCCTGGAGTACAAGGTTAAAACTCTTGACTTGGGGAAAAATGAAAAGAAACTGGACCACACAAGAGGAAAAAAACCGTAAGAAATGATGTCACATCTCCCTAAAGGGTGATTATAGTGTCTTCCTTTGACCCCAGAGCATACAAAGCCCTGGCTGTCTTCTCCAGCCGGTTTCTGTATTCCAGTTTCTCATAGTTGGAGGGGCTCACTCCTTTCAGACCATACATAACTCCCCACCAGCAGCCAGCAATAGTAGCTGTAGAATCGCTGTCTCCCCCATGGAAAAAGGCTCGGTGGGCAAGCTCCTTCCAGGAGTCTCCCGCACCCAGGATGGCATCGTAGGCAATCATGGGGGCGTCATGCCCGCTGCTGCCACCCCAGCCAGAGTAGCTCACCGAGGTATAGAACTGATCCCTCTCCTTCACATCAAAGGGCTTGGGGAAGATAGGGGCTGACTTGCCATCCAAAATCCCTCTAAGTTTTAGGTATTTTTCCCATTGGTCTTGGAAGTAGGACCTGTAGGAAGGAAAAATTCTACAGTCAATTGAAAAAACAAATTTGAGAGCCATAAGGAAAGGTACCAGATAAATGTGTGAACAGGGAAAATTCCAAGATGACTTCAACTTCTTGTGCTAATATCAAAATTGTAATTAGAAACTCAAAATGAGCTCTAAGTGGAATTTGTTCAATAAGTTTTTGCCAAAGATTAATATAAACAAGGCACTGATATCTGTTGCTAAATAAAGATACACAGGAAGTTAAAGGTGAGAAATGAGGTCTATTTTTCCTGAATTGAGAATAGTGTCAAGTGTCACCTGCCAAGGGTGAAATTTATTTATTTTACTTTCTTTCTCTTTTCTTTTCTTCTTTCTTTCTCTCTCTCTCTCTTTTTAAGTAGGCCCAGTGTGGAGCCCAATGTGCGGGTTCTGAATTCACAACCCTGAGATCAAGACTGGAACTGAGATCAACAGTTGGAAGCTTAACTGACTGAGCCCCCCAGGTGCCCCTTTATTTATTTTTTAAATTTTATTTGACAGAGAGAGAGAGAGAGAACGCGTGCACACAAGCAGGGGGAGCAGCAGGCAGAGGGAGAGGGAGAGGGAGAAGCAGGTTCCCCACTGAGCAGGAAGCCCTGTTGAGGGGCTTGATACCAGGACCCTGAAATCATGACTTGAGCTGAAGGCAGACGCTTAACCAACTGAGCCACCTACGCGCCCACTTTATTTTCTTATTAAAACTTGTATAAATTTAAGGCATACAACATGATATAATATACAAATACATAGTAAAAAGATTATGATAATCTAATTAACACATCATCTCCTTATACACTTATATTACTTTTTCAATATAGAACTTTGGAACATCATGACCACAGGTGATTTCAGTAGAAAGATTCTAGACCTTTTTATTCTAAGAAAGGTGATGTGACACGAACTCACCAAAAAGGGAAACTGTGGCTTTACTACTTATGAACTAACTAGTGAAAAAAACCTATCTCTTGGGCACACAAGGATTTTAAAACACTGTGTCATGACAACACTGAAGAAACAAGTTCCAGGAATAAGCAGGAAAGTTCACAGCAGTATGAACTTCGCAGTACAGGATAGCCACAAAACCGACAGAAGGCTGGGATACAGAACAGGATCCCTACACAACAGGGAAGTGCTGCAGGTGTACTACTCATTGAGGTCTTCACTGGCTACTTGGTGGCAACCACTGCAGGCACTGAACCTGAAACCGTTAGCAGGTGGCGGGGGGAGAGGGCGGTGCTGGATGCAGGAGATAACAAAAATGGATGGTGAAAACCAGGATGGTTGCTTTGATCTATGAATTCTAAGCATACATGTGCATGCACATGCACACTCAGATTCAATCATTTTTTTAAGATTTTATTTATTTATTTTAGATAGAACACATGAGAAAGAGGGGGCATGGGGGGAGTCAAAGGCAGAGGGAGAAGCCGGCTCCCTGCTGAGCAAGGAGCGCAATGTGGGACTCGATCCCAGGGCCCTGAGACCATGACCTGCGCTGAAGGCAGACGGTGAAACGACTGAGCCACCCAGGCGCCCCCCAGATTCAATCATTTTCCAGCAGGAGCGTGCACCTACCAACTTACCAGTGTTGAAGATTCTTCTCCAAAAAGTAGCCTGATTGGATAATGTACTTTTTAGCTTCTGGTAGCACCTCCATCAGTTCTTTTCCCCATTGCCTGGGAGGCTTGCCATTCACAGCAAAGGCTGTAAAAAGAGCAGAAACAAGGGCTCCCAGGTAGCCTGTGGGGTGATGGTGGGTCATCCTGCCGCTCTCGATGCTCACCTGGATCAGTGCGTCCAGCTGGCTGCGGTGAGGGAACCGGAGGCCGATGCACATGGCACGCATGGCAGCCCCGCAGCCACCCTCGTGGCTGTTAAAGGGAATCCTCCAGCCATTGGCCTCATCTGGCTTCAGCAGCAAGGCATTCTGCACTGAAGCACCCCCTGGGAAGAGTCGGGGAGAGCAGAGGGTCAGTGTAACCAAAGCAAAGGCTCCCGCAGGAGGAAACAACCAAGCTCTGTCTCTGTTTCTTTGATGGACAGGGAAAGCCCCCAAAATATGATGAATGCCCCCAGACTCCAAACCCCAAGGCAACACTGTTCCTTACTTTCTATATAACCACCAGCATGAGAAGATTGATGATACAAGAATCAGATTCATATAGAGAGTCTTGGAATCTTTATCAGTTATTACTGAGACATCATAATAACTCAAAAAGATAGGTTTAACATGATTGTCTTTTCTTAAATGACTAAGGTAAGGCTCAGAGCTTAAGAACCTTGCTCAAAATCACTTAACCAGCTAGCTAGTGGCCCCATCAAAACCATCAGATTCAGAGCCCCAGCCCTTAGAGAACCCAATGAGAACCTGACCAATGGAGATCTGAATGCTAGAAAGAGGCTGCAGGTTCTAGAGTGAGGACTACCAGGCTCAGAAAAGGAGCAATGGGTTCAGAGCAACAACGTGCCTTTGGGTGCCCTATGTTTTGTAAGCCTCTTTTTTTACTAATATATAATATCTTTCCACATCAGTCAATATTTATCTGCATAATTTTAAATGGCTGTGAACACGTCACCATAATTTTAAAAAATTAGAGAACATTTAGGTTGTTTCTATTTTTATCGCAACTACAAAAAACAACTGTCGTCTTGATATTTAAATCTCAGTCAACATTTTTAATGAGTGCCTTGGGCCTGTTTTATTCTCTACCTGCCTGTGACCTCCACTGGCCACACTCACCTGGTGCCCGGCCATCCATGTCTTCCATGCAGTCTTGGTAATGCTTAGCAAGTAGGGCATATAGGTGAGCCAAATCCAAGACTTTGCCGGCTTCCACAAGAGCTTCAGCCGTGGCCAGGTGCATCACCGTGTCATCACTGACTCTCCACCTCTCCACATCGATGGCATCCAACCCACCATGCTGGGCCAGCTGCTGGTGAATCTTTTCCCCATCCCGGAGAAACTCCCACTTCCCATTGAAGTACCCCAAGGCATCTCCAGCTGCACTCAGCACCATGGCAGCCACATACCTCTCCATCAGTCCCTCACACATGGTGAGGCTGTCTCTGTGGGAATATTAAGATATACAGAGGATAAGGAAAAAGAAGAATCAGAAAAACTTAACAGCCCTACCTACATGTTACTGAGCACTCACTACTTGTAGGGCATTGTATTAAGTGCATCTCATTTAATCCTCACAACTGCTCTATAAGGAATGTATTAGACCCATTTTAGAGGTGAGTACATTGAGGATCACCAAGAGAACATAGTATCAGAAACGTGATGTGCCTTATCTTAGGTCACAGAGCTACTAAGTGGCAGGGCTGGGATTCCAGCTTAGGTCCACCTGACTTTACAGCCAACGATTTTAACTATGACTCCATCTTTGCCTCTCTGTGAGTAGCAAGCCCATTAAAATTCTGCGAATCAAACCAAGCTCATCATTTTCTCTTTTTAGTTGGGATTTGGCCTTGGAAGTGTACCCCTCCTTTATTAAACAGTAGTACTTTCCATTGGCATCGCAATGCACAGTTTGCAAAGCACCTGCACATTCTGTCTCAGTAGTAGGGAGGGATGACAATACACATTTCACAGATAAGAAAACTGAGGCTCAGAGAGGGTAAATTCACACAACCAGTGAGGGAGGCGCTGAGACCGGAATCTTCTGACTCCAGGCCACTCCTCCTCAGCACAGATCTACTTACCTTGGGCAACCTCTTTGTGCCTCAGCCTCTACATCTCTAAAATGGTGACAAAATAGTAACAACCTCATTGGTTTGTTGTGAGAAGTAAATAAATTAATTTTTGTAAAGCACTTACAACAGTGCTTAGCACATAGTAAGCACCATTTTTATTCATACACAACCAGGGGAAAAGATTTTTCTCTTATTGAACTAGAATACTTTCTCCCCACAACCTTCAACAGCAACATTTTAATTTTGTCTTCCTGCTAAATGATTTAACTTCTAGAGTCTTAGGATCTCAGCTAATATTCCCTCCACAAATTTAGTCCCTGGTGAAGTGCTAGTTTCCCCGGAGGTGCATTTCCAATTCTCCATTGTGTCCTACTGCCTGCAGCATTCATGTTCAAAGCCCTCCATCGTCTGTCCCAACTCTACCCACCTCCTTCACCTGCAGGGGCCAGGCGCTTTTAAACGCCCCCCTGCGGGTGGACTGCACTGCTGTGGGCCAGGAAGTGCAGGCTGGCAAGCACCTGGATAAGAGTAAATGATGAAGACCGACTGAGCATACCAAACCAGAGATACTGACCTTACTGAGTTTCTTGATTGACAAAGGCTATCTGTAAAACGTTGTTTACGTATTTTATTATTTACAAACGATACCCAGGAACTGGAGTTCCGAGCTACTAGACCTGGCTCTGCCAAGAGTCAGGTGTATGACTGTGGACAAGCCACCCACTCTGGACCTTGACTGTCCCATCTATGAATAGGAGAGTGGGGGCTCCCATCTTGCGCTGAGACCTTCGCAGTCCAAGCTTAGCTGGCTTTTAAGCACCAACTTTTAACCCCCCGTATCCCCTCTCCCAATGTCCTCAGCTTCTAGTCTGCCATTCCTTCTGGCTCTACCCGAAAGTGTGTTTTTGTGAAGGGCAAGCAGAGGTGGGGGACGATGACCATTTCTTTCCTCGGAAATTCTCTTTTAACATTTACACGTATTGCTCTCAGCCTCCCGCTTTCAGAACACCACTATTCCCTAGCCTCCTCTTCTACCGTTTACATTCTTGGCCCCGAACTGTAACTATATATTCAAACAAATTCAAAACTTCAAAACTAAGGTCTGGGCAGCGGCTTCCCGGCGGTCCTCTCTCTCTCTTTTTTTTTTTTTTTGGTAGTGGTGGTGGGGAAAGACGCCTGGACAGGGGCTGGGTGGGCGCCTGGTCACCGCCGTGTAGGCGGGACGCGGGGCTGAGCGCGCGGGTCTCCGGCGGAGGCGCGCGCGGGGGCAGGGCCGAGCAAGAATCGGGGGGAGGAGGGCAGGCGGGACCCCGGCCACTGCCGGGAGCCGGGCGCCCGCGGGTTTGTGGGAGGACGGCGGGGAGGAGTACCTGCTGGCCGGTCCTGGAGCGCGCGCGAGGCGAGGCGAGGGCGGGGCCGAGCGCAGGGGGTTCAGGGTGCGCGGAGAGGGCTGGCTGCATCCGGTGTGTGGAGGCGCAGAGCCACCCCGCCGCGAGCGGAGCGCACAGGGAAAGGGCGGAGCCGCGCAGCCGCGTTCGGGAACCCAGGTTCGGCGGACCGTGGACAAGTGCTGCGCGACTTCCCGGCAGCGGTGTGGCCCTCTGCGTCCGGGCAGGGCCGAGGGGAGCTGCGTCACCGGCCACCTGGGCTGGCCACAGCGCTGGGCAGTGCCTGGCATTTCGGAACGTCGCGGCTCAGAGAACCAGACTCGCAGACTGAGTGACGATGACTCACCTGTAGCCCTTTGCAGACGCCTGGGCCTTTCGTCTGCCCAGCTTTTGTGGGTTATGGTGAGCCAGTGTGTGGCCAAATACTGGGGAAAGGGTGCTGAGTGCAAGACCTTTGTCCGGGTTCCGAACCCCTCCCATAAAATGGGAAAATAATGGCACCTACTTCTAAATGGTGGTTGTAAGGATTAATTTTAACTCTTATTTGGTAGCAGTTTAGAATTTTTGCACCCTGATAGTAAATAAAAGCAAAGAAAAACTAACAGTATTTTTGTTTGGCTAAATTAATTTTGTCACCCTTGAAAAGAATGAGAATCACCATATGTAAGTATTCTATATACTTGTCCAAAATTTTAATTTGCTATCCCTATCTTTCTGGCTGTAATTACCCAGACCTGGCTTGAGAATTTTGTTTTTAATTGAAATGCAAATGCACTCCTTTGGTGTTCTGTTCAGTGAGTTTTAATAAATATATATACCTGAGTAACCATAGTCAAGATACAGAATATTTTCATTACTCCAAAATGTTCCCTTGTGCTCTTTTCCAGTAAGGCCCCACCTCCACCTTCAACCTTAGCCAAAGTGATTTTTAATTGTTTGCAAAAATCAAATCACTGTCCACCTCTGAGGGTGTAGTCAAAGTTCCCTCGTGAGGGACATTTTTAATAAGCATTCCTATCAAACTCATAACTGTTTCAGTTTAAAATGTTGAGGATATTGTTCATATTACATAGTGCTCTTTCCACAAGAATCCATGGAAAAAGTGTTTCTTTGGCTTGAATATAAATAATAACTAGGGTTGTTCTTAGCCATTAGTTTCCTTTTACTTTATGGTGCCTGTGACCCTTGCTATAACTTGGACTTCTGACTCATTCATGCTACTGAATGGCTGCGGATAGAGTTTTGTCCAGGACCTCTGAGCCATAAACTGTTGTCATCCTTCACCACCTTGTTTTACCAATTCCCATACTTTATTAGCCTCCATCCCCACTGAAAGCACATTTTTTTTAAAAGACTTTTTTTTTTTTATTTTTTTTTTTTTGAGAGAGAGCACATGAAAGGGGGGAGGGTTAGAGGGAGAAGCAGACTCCCCGCCAAGCAGGGAGCCCGATGTGGGACTCAATCCAGGGACTCCAGGACCATGACCTGAGCCGAAGGCAGTCGCTTAACCGACTGAGCCACCCAGGCGCCCGGAAAGCACATTTTTTTACTGTGGTTAGTTTATATACTGCCTTCTTTAGTATTCTAGTGCATAAGGCAAGCCAAAGGCTCTGCTTTTACTTGGGAAGAACAACAGTGCACCTGAACAGTAATGCCCCAGGGTTTTACTGAAACCTCTTCTTACTTCTCACAAATTTTAAAGGCTGATCTAGATGATATAAAATTTCCTGGAGGTTCTGCCCTATTACAATATGTAGATGACTTCCATCTCTGATCCCTTTCCCAAGCCTCTTCACAGGTGGACAGCATCCATCTGTTAAAACTTTTAGCTTTACAGGGACATAAAGTCTCTGAGGAAAAATTGTGCTTTGTTCAAACTCAGGTTTGATATCTAGGGCACCTGATTTTGGAACAAGGACTACATTTAGATCCAAATAGGCTTCATGACATCTTGAATTTCCCAAAATTCAAAACTAAGTACCAGCTATGAGGTTTTTGGGGGGCTAGCTAGCTACTGAGTATGGAAATTGTCCAAATCTCTCTCTATGGCCCATCCCCTAGATGTTTTACTAAAAAAACTACAAAGTTGACCATATTCTTTAGGAAGATCAACATGATTTAGCCTTTAAAGCCTTAAAGGAAAGCTTAATAAATCCCTCTGCCCTTGGATATCCCAATGATCAATTTCTCTTTTTTCCTTTTTGTATGTTAAAAAGAATGGAATGCTCTTATGGTACTCACCCAAAAACATGGGGACCACACTTACCCAAAGGGTATTTATTATAGCCACCAGCGAGGCCCTACTGTACAAGGGTACCCTCCCTTGTCTCAGACCATTCCTGCCACAGTCCTTTTAGTCAAGGCCACTGAAGAAATAATCAAAAGATTCCCGCCGCCCCCGCCCCAACTATTCTGGGACTCCATGTGGTAGAAGCCTTTCTAAATCCTCACCATACTCAACACCTTTCATCTAGTCGCCTCACCTCCTACAAAATCTTGCTAACCACTTCTCAGATTCTTCTTAACTGTAATAACCTTAACCCTGCGATTCTTCTCCCTTCCTCCCCTGAAAAAAACTCTCACTACTGCTTAATACAAATCACCTTCTGATTCCCATAATGACTTACAGGAAACTGCTTTATCATGCTGACTTTTCAGTTTACTGATGTTTCTTATTTAAAAGGTGAAAATGATAAATATTGTGCGAGCTATACAACTGCAACTCCCTTTTGAAGTTCTTGAGGCGGCACCATTGCCTTTGGCTACCTCGGCCCAATAGGCCAAATTGTATGCTCTCACTCAGGCCTGCATTTAGCCAAGGGCCAACTGCAAATATCTATACTGACAGGAGATAGGCCTTTGGAGTAGCTCATGACTTTGGAATGCTGTGGAAACAGCGAAGCTTCCTTATTTCCAACAAAGATTAAAATGGTTCTCACCTTCAAAATGCCGTATTATTAGATGCCATACTTCT